CATATGCAGTCACCTTGAAGGAAGTCATGTCACTTTTGAGTTTCAAACCAACGTCACCCAGTGCTGCAGTCAGTCACAGACGTTACCACGGAGCTGTTTAGGCTCACGGCTGACCTCCAGTAGGACTGTATTGGATACTTTGATTAAACACTAGTCAGTAACTAGTTTAATGTGTCTAGCTGGTCCTTGGTGTCAGTGCAGACTGAACACTATCGGTCACGTTGGCATTATGGCCACTATGTGCTAGTTGACTCGTCATCACGGTGTAATTTGAATTGTTGACTGCTGAGTACCAACTAGCACGAAACCTAGGCCAGGTGGAGCTTCCTGTGGCCGATTGTATCCAACCATCCATTGTCAACAATTCAAAGTGCACAGTGTTGGCGAGCCAGTTGGCTTGATGGTGGCCACATTGCCAAAAGGACTGATAGAAATGAGTCTGCACCAACACCAGGGGCTAGACACATTACACTAGTTACTTACTAACTGGTGTCCGATCTAAGGACATCTGATAGATTCCAGACACCAAGCCGAAACCCAAACAAACTTCAAAGTCGTCTACAGAATACGAAATAGTCTTCCTAAAGGGGTGTACGAATCAGACTTCTTCAAACTTCAGAAGCAATGGAGATTCACCTGATAAGCCCTGAACTCTGAATACAGAAGGAGTTCGTTCAATCACTACACTTGCAATGGACGTAATCTATCTTATTACCTGACAGGTGAATTCTACCTACCTACCTAACTGTAATCCGTTTAGAATAACAATTTTACAAGTATATTCTATTCCTGTGTAATTTTTTGTTTCTATGCCTCTTGTAATCTGTCTATATTCACACTTCCTGACTTACATTTTAAGGTGGAGAATTTTGATTTCAATTTGTTTCCATGCTCATTTTATTCACACCTGTAATTCCTTCTATCCCTGCGTCTCTAAGCCTCTTGTAATTCATATCAAGTGGAAAATAATTATCATCTTTTATTCGCCTTTAAAATTATTAGTTCTCCAGTTATCAAATATTAATTTTGCATACATTGTAACTGTTTTCTAATCAATCCTATGCAATCTTGTCTCTAAGCCCCTTGTAATCTATATTCGTACCTTCAAACTTTCATATCAAGTTGAAAATTATTATCACCTTCGTTACTATATGGAATTAATTAAACAAGTAATAATTGTATCCATGTAAACCAATCTATAAAAATGTGATTGTACAGCAGCTTTTGAGAATGAAGTCACCGAATAGATGAGATATCTTTTCTGAACTTCGTGTTCTCTTCTTCCTAATGTCCATAAGGGTGTTTTCCACGATCTGAAATTCTACCTAATCTTTTTTTCTCTTCTGTCTCTTCATTAGTATTATTCTGTCTTCTCAATTGTAATATTTTACATTTTCAACTTTCTTGTTCCCTAACTCCACACGACTTAATTTATACACCTCATTACCACTGTTACTGACTTGACCAACGCTCAACTTCTAGTCGTTTATGCTACGTCATCCAATTTATTTGCTCAATTTGAGTTCTAATCTAAATGGCATTATTCTTTACTCCACTTATACTTAGTCTCTTTCTGCCTGTAGTTACCTATGTTGCTATCCTGACCTAAGTTGATACATTTTAGTCAATTACATTAGATCATCTAACCTACTAACTCAATCTTACTTTAGTTGCTGTCTAGTTAAGCTCTTTTCTTTCTATATTAGATCATTCTTTTATTACCTGATCAATTATCTAAACTTGACAAACCTCATGTACACACACACACACAAATAATTATAAATAAATGCAATTGTACAGTTATGTGAATGAATTCACCGGCAAAAGAGTCATTACGCTGAACGTCTTCTCTTTTTCTAGTTGTTGTGTACTGGTCGAGAATTTAATAGTCCTGACGCAAGAAAGACGGAAATGAGAAGAACACTAGGTTTGCGATGATACTTCTATTTTCCAAACACAAGGAGAATCAAATGTCACACAAGAGTGTGAGAGCAAAATATGAATGTCCGAACAAGTGTGTGCGAATATTCAAAATGAACAAATCAATGGACAGTCTTAACATGATTGGCTAATTATAATGGAATATCGATCCATATATACATAGCAAATATACGGACTGTCAAACAAACACACATATTATATGGATATATATCACCACTAGTGGATTACGGTTTCGCTGGCTTTTGAAACTATGGGCACTGGGTTCGAGCATTAGTGGGAACATCATCATTCACTGGGGAATACAGGTACATCCAGTTAGCTGTCAACAGACAGTTCTGGTTATCATCACTTCACATAAACTTCTTTTATAGTGACAGAAAAACGGGAAAATAGTCTGATCTGGAGGTGGAATTACAGCTAACAAGTTTTGTCATATACCTTTTCTAAAGGCAAACTGAAATTCATTTTCGTTTTGTTTTGAGTAATATAAGAGTAGCCTATAATTTCACATTATATAATCCATTTGATATAACACAATGATACAGTATCGATAACTGGATGATATTTCGAGGACAATTTTATTACTCATCACCATGTCATATAAGATATTATATGATTATGAAGAATAAATTGTCCTCGAAACACTATCTAATTATTAGTACTGTATGTTATATATCAAATAACTCAATAATTTGGATTATTGGATAGCCATTTCGTCCTAGTCTGGGGATCTTCAGCAATACACACTCATCTCACTGAGTTTCGAACCTAGGACACTCCGGTTACAATTGACATCAATGTTTACGTCCCAAATCCGGGTCATGAGAAAAACCAAGATCAAAGCCTGACCTTGAGGAACTCAATAACCAATCACAGTAGACTTAGCGTGGGTAGATATGATTCGCAGATATACTATCACCGGACTATCTAAGAAACGGTAAAAAAAGAGATGACAGAATAACCTTCAGCAGGAAAACAACCAATCAGAAGACGTTGTTTCTCTGCTAACAATAATCAATAATAAAGTACATAAAAATCTATAAATATCTGTTGATTTTCTCAATAAACGATCTGTTGCCTGACTCTTTTCTGTTACTCGCCCTTGATATTGACTGACAGTTGCTAGAATCAGCTAGTTATTTTAATTTCAACCTCTTAATCTCATCCACCTCGCACCTATACCTAGAACTGGTGGATTAAAATAACCAAATGATTGGGAACATTTTGATGTAAAAAGCTATAGTTTAGTGTAGAGTCAACCGACGTTGAGAACTAATTGAAAATCAATATATTTCCTTGACTAATTTGAGTTTTTTTTTCTAAATGCTTAAATGGGAATTTGGAAATTACTATGAATTTAGTCTTTTCAACCTTGTGAATTCTAATCAGTGTATTATGTTATTATCTCTGATTACATAATCGTCATTGATTTATTGCCACTCTAACAATAAATTTACTCAATATTTCCACGAGAAACGTTTTTTTTTCTTTTTACATTCCTTTATATTTCCAGTAGAACATAGGGTGGCTTCAAGCTAGAGACTTGAAGTTTCTGTAGCAGTGGTGTTTATCTTTACGGGATGGGATTGTTAGCCTCTTGCCCAATCTTCCCTTTTTACCAGTCTTATTTCTGGCTCAGCGAGGTAAGGGAGTACGTTGGTGGCGGGGGATCAAACCCCAGACCACATGTATGGTTGGTGAGCATCCTATCACTGTTCCACTGACGCTTTAGCAGACTAGACCTGTTATGAACTCGTCGCCAATATGTTATGGGGGTCGTTGCCGATATTATGGTGTGACCGAGTGTAAATATGCACTATTGAGATATAACGGACGATAACGTACAGACTAGTATTGCAGAGTGGTTAATTTGTCCTGAAGTGAAGACGTAAATCAGAAGACCACCACGTTCACGAAGATACGTGTATTTCCAACAAGGAAGATTAACTGTCACACAAGAGTTTGAGTGAAAAAGTACGAAAAGTACGAAAGTGTGTGAATTAACTTTACAATACAAGAGTAGATAGGAAATAACTAACATACATGAACCAATAAGACAGATTTCTTACCACCACTGGATTCTGATTGGTTGTAATGTCATGCGACAAAACGTCATACATTGTTTATTTAGTTAATGGATAGACAAAATATATTGTGAGTTATAATGGAATAAACGATCAATAATCACATAGCAGAATATATCAGACTGCCAAAACAAAGCACACATCATGTAACTACATATCAAGACCATACGACACAAGTTGACAACCATCTATTCATTCCGCATGACAACTCAAACCTGGATACACCTCATATATCAGTGTGACACAGACACGGATGGACGTGTGTTCGCACGCACGACACTTGTTAGTGGGCATTTTAGTGTGGAAGGGAGAGGAGTGTTAGCCAGTGTGAGTGGAGAGTGTGGATAGTTCCGAAATCCGCCTGCTGAGATTTGGATTCGAACGCACTCTGGGATACAACACAGAGGCTCTTAAGTCCACCGCCTTAATCAATTGGTCATCTCGACCAGAGGATCCTTACTGTTTATATATATATATATATATGTTGATTAGACAGCAGGTGGTAACTAATGTCATGCTTCTGGTACTTGGTGTTGCTGAAGCCTGAACTGCATCAGGAGGGACATAAATTCCTCCAAGATTTCAAATATCCCTTGATGACAAGTACCAACGACACTCAGTTCTATGATTCTCTAAGGATTACCTTCAGCTATCTAACAGCAATATATATATATATATATATATATATATATATATATATATATATATGAATCTCATCCTACGTATTGAATGATCTACCAGCTTGCCCAGTAACCAGAAAGTCCTGGGTTCTAACCTTAGTGGACTGAGTGCCTACTGATGATGAGTCCCAAACAGGGACGAAACGGTGGTTGACTCCTCCCCCCCTGTGGTTTTCAATAATTCACTAACTAGCATCAATCCGTAATTAAAAACTTAATTCATTTATTTTAATATCCATTTAGAAAAAGAAGAGAGAAAAAAAGAACAAGTTAACAATTTTCAATCAATTTATCAATGAAAGATCACCAATATCAAAAAGCATGTCAAGTATACTCTAAAAGTCGTTTCATCTGTTGTCTTCTATTAGGATTTATAACTGGTTTATTTCTACTCTGTATTTATGATGTACTTGAAGAGATTGAATTGTATAAGCATCAAAATTATAATTCTGCAAAGAATACTCATAATAATAATAATTATAAGGATAAAAATTATTTATCTGATATATTAACAGAATATATTATGAATAATATTATTAATGAAAAGCGTAATCTGGTTGACAATAAGAAATACAATCAGTTTACATCAATTTTACACGACAGTAATAATAATAATAAAAAGAACAATAATCTTGTTAATCAATTGTTAAGATCAACAGTCAAGCAGCATACAACAATTATGCCTACTGTTCCTATTGTCATTAATTCTACACTAAAAGTTCATAGTAAGTTTTAAATTTATTTATTTATATGTTTTTTGTTTCAAGTATTGGTTTTTTTTTCGGGGGGGGGATTTTGGTTTGATTGGATGGAGGATATCAGTTAGAGAACCACTGGAAAACCTGCAGGGAGTACTGGACAGCTGTTTCGTCCTGTTTTTTGGGGTCGAACTCTTCTGGTTACATTGTGAAATGGTTGCGGTATGTCGTGAGTTGGCAGAAGTTAAAATTCATAGACTGGCCATTGGATTGGGTCCCAGTGGATGCTGAATGGTCTACGAGGTCGTCTTATTTATATGCAATAATCATGTCAGTAGTTAAGTAGTTGAATACTGGCTAATCAGTCATATGTGTTGTCTAGGGTTCGAAACCCAGCTGATGAATGCCGAAACCTCATTAAGCCAGTATTAAGGTCGGTGAAGAGAGAAGGCTGGGTTTGAGACCAACAACCCTGCTACCGAAACTTCACAGTGCTAGATTGAAGCTTCATGCTTCACTCGGAACGCGAAGAAATAAAATAAAATGGTAATAATCATAATATAATAATTTTCTGTAGTTGGTTTGTAAGGATTATTTTTTGTTTTTACGAGTTTCAACAAGGATTGATATCAGCTTGGAGTACTGAAAGACAGCTGTTTCATCCTAGTTTGGGATAGTACGCACCTACCACCAAAATTCGAACCTAGCATCTTCCGGTGACAAGGCAACTCGTATACTACTCGGCCACAGGGACCCAATTTAATGACTAGGTCATGAATTCTAATTATTCTAATAATTCGTGATTTAACGCAACCCCAACCATTGTCGTAGGTGGGACATCCATCCTCACACATGACATCTGGATGGATCTCAGTGTTCACGACTTTTCAATAGAACTCCAGGAAACTCCATCACTGGAGAGCATCCGATTAATGCTCTATAGTTTGGTTTTTAAGGGTTAGTTTTGTTTTTACGAGTTTGACTATGGATTTATATTAGTTAGAGAACCATTGAAAACCAGCACTGGAGTACTGGATGGCGTACTGCCGATGATTCTCAAACCAGGCTGGCGAAACAGCTGTCCAGTACTCCCTGTGGCTGGTTTTCAATGCTTCTTTAACTGTTATTAATCCATGATCAACTCTTATTACAATAATAATAATAATTATTTTTTATTTTATTTTACAGTCAATACAAGTTATTCTTCTAAATTGCGTAAGAAAATAAAAATATTATGTTATATTAATACACATCCAGAAAATTATTATAAAAAAGCAATTCATATACATAATACATGGGCTAAAAGGTGCACTAAACACTTGTTTATGAGTACAAAGTACGATCCAATTCTCCCTGTTGCTGGTAAGTTTTGAATTTTAATTATTATTATTATTACTATGAAGAAGAGTCGATTTGTAAGGATTGTATATATTTTAAGTTTCGTAACCAGTGAGGGTTCAGCAGGTCGTCACAGTATTATGGTAAATACTCATCGATGACATTAGCTACTGGTGGATGCATTAAAATGCTGAATTCATAGAAGTTAGAATTTATCGGTTGATGGCAGAAATTCCATCCCAATGACTCAACCGTCAACGAGCTCGACCTAATAACCTGAAGGTCCTGGGTTCGACTCCTTGCGCATACTTCTGAAAAGTCCCAAACTATGGGGAAATGGTGCGTCAGTGGCACAGCAGTTAGGACAATCGCCGACAATGCACATGGTCCGGGGTTCGATCCCCGACCATCGATGCACTCCTTTACCTCCCAAAGCCAGTAATAAAGCTGGTAAAGAGAGAAGGTTAGGCATGAGGCTAGCAACCCTATCCTGTAAAATAAACACTGCTCTACAGAAACTTCAAGTCACTAGCTTGAAGCCCTATGTTCCACTGGAAATGTGAAGGAAAAAATATGGCGAAATGACTGTTGAGTACTTCCTGGTTTTCAACAGTTTTCTAACTGATATCAGTCGGTGATCAAAATTATTATTGTCATTAGGAACAGAATTTTGGCACTTTAGTAAAATACAATTCTATCGAAGAATAAATTTAATTTGATAAAAGTTTACAGCTATACAGTATTAATTACTGATTACTAGAGCCTTTATTTAACTGAAATCTGCGAGTCTTTATTATGCTAAATTCTTGTTTTTCTACATGTTGTTTTGAACTCACAAATTCTCCCTACTTAAAATGACTTTACATCACTGTTGCTATAAGTTGATTCACTTTAAGAGACTGAGTACATTTTTGAGTTTGAAGGCTATTCTGATATTAGTAAATCATCGTAAGCCACTAAGTTCTGATGCACGCAGAATACGTCTTTTAATCAACAGATTGCTATTTAATGATTGATAAAGATGTGAAAAGTTGGAGAATGTTAAACGAACCATTCACACAGGTTTGGAGATCATCTTATTGCCTCCCTTTAATCTAGGTGTTAATGCATTATTGTTTCTTTAGAGCTATTTTGTATTTGTACTATTGAACTATATGCAGTGAAAAACACTAAGTTGACAGAAGAAGCATCAAAGACAAGACTTCAGGTGAACATAGGGGAAACAGAGTTCGGTGATGAAGATTCCTGCCTAACAGGAACAGAAAACAATCAGAAATCTCAAAGAAGCAACATCCTTCACGTGCCAATCCACCTGGAATGCATCATTTCGACTACAGGCGGACGGAACTGATGAGAATATCAAAGCAGTGAGGATCGGAAAAGCAAGGGAAGCGTTCATTACTCTCAATTCAGTATGGAGGAGAACAACAACACTCAGTATGAAAATGAAAATAAGATCCGGATTTTCAACTTCAATATGAATTCATTGCTACTTTATGGAACAAAGACCTGGTGAGTCATAGAGAGCACCTCAACAACTGTCTGCGTTCAGTGCTCAAGATCAAATGGCCAGAAAAGATCAGCAACAGAAATCTCTGGAATCGAATCAACCAGGAACCAATTATGAGACAAATATGCAGGAAGAAATGGAGGTGGATTGGTCATACTCTGAGAAAACAAACCATCACGTGATATCAGACGATAGGCCATCACTCGAGTGGAACCCGAACGGGAAGCGGCGAGTTGATCGTCAGTGCTAGGATGAGGGTAACATAGAGTGCAGGAGGCTATGCAAAAAGAAGATAAAAGCATGTGCGTAGTCGTGGAGTCAGGTGAAAACGTTGGCAGAGAACCGAACCCAATGGAGACTTACGGCTGAAGCCCTATTTTCCCCTAGAAATTAAAGGGAACATTAATAATAACGATAATTTTTCATTCGCACAATTAAACTACCTGTAGATTATGTTTCATAATTTTACAAAGATCAACGGATTGAGTGAAGAAATATACATTCCTTTTCAAATCAATTACTCCCTCATCATCGGATGACTCTTAAAAAAATTTTTTTTATTACAGCTTGATTCCACACTGTATTTTTGGTACAAGTATGGAATTTTCAGCATGGATATCGGTAGCACAAATTTCGCAGGCCGACCATAGATATCAGGTGTGCGTTGATAGGGGATTGAACCTCGGACTATGTGCATGGTCGGCGAGAATCCTAACCACTGTGCCACCGACGCACAGAGAGAAAGGTTTCCGTAAAATTCATTCACTTAAAATCAGAAAATGAATCATATATGCATCAGTGAGATTCCTCAGGAAATAGTAAATTACCAGTCCTTTGAATGCACTAATAGGCAGTAACCAGACTGGAACCTCTGTGGGTGAGCATTGCTGAAGAGTCCTAAACTAGGACGCAACATCTGTCTGTCCGCTACTCCATAACTTATATTAGCTCATGATGAAATCATGTAATAAATCAAATCAAATCCCTGCAAACCAACACTTGAAAATCACAAGGTTTGTCGCTTTGTAGGAGTAGATGAGAACTGGATCTTTGATCATCGAATCACCGCCGAATACATGCAACACCAATATCGCATATTAAAAATAAACAGCTTCTGTAGACAAAAACTGAAAGTTAAAGGCAGTGTCACCACCTTGATACAGTTTTAAGTAATAATTTATGCTCGAAATATCATGTAGTTACGGAAAGAGTAAGGAGTAGACACCACATTCAAATGACCTTGAACTGACCAATCGGATCGTTCAGCATTACAAATGAATCACTTTTCACATTTTAATTGAATTTTAGATTTTCACATCGACTGATTGGACCGAAGTGCTCCGTCTCAGGTTGACATATCGGCTTCTTATGCAGATGCTTCGACGATGTCTGGGGATTTGATTTGTATACAATTGGTGGACGGTCAAAGCATCGTCGAAGCATCTGCACAAGAAGCTGACCTGAGACCAAGCACTTTGGTCTAATCAATTGACGGGAAAATCTAAAATTCAATTAGATAATTATTATGGCCGGCTGCACAAGAGGTGGCTCTCTCGTGGCCCACGTGATGCATTTGATAACGCTTTGGATGGTGTTTGAAACTATGGTCACTGGGTTCGAGCCTCCGTAGGAAAATCATCATTCACTGAGAAATGCAGATACATCCAAATAGGACGTCCCAAATGGGACGAAATACGCGTTTCATTCTGATTCAGAGTTAAGGTTTAAGTAAGTTTTAGGTAGGGTTCTGGTTAAGGTTAGATTGAATCTTTCACCGAAGATTAAAGAAAAGCATCGATTTTTAATGCTGAGCTATATGATTGGTTGGTTCAAGGTCGTTTGACTTTGGTGCCTATTCTTTACTATTGCTGTAGTTAGTAATATATATCGTAACAATGTAACAATTCTATATTAAACTTATGCTATCTCAATTTAACCAAAGGATTTATTTATCGATTGTCTTAGTTGAACTAGTCGTGCTGTAATTCAACCTTATTAGAGAAGTTTTACAACACCTTTAGTTCGATCGCTTTAACAGTCAAGATGGAGTCTATCTATAGTGTTTTAGTTTTACTTATAATTATAATATAATAATTTGCTTTATTTCAAAACTACTTATGTTACAATGTGGAATTTTCAGCATTCGACGCAATATTGCATCTAATTGTATCGAGTTTAAATTAAAAACAAGTATAAAGATAATATTACACGATTGTTAATTACAGCGCTTATTTGGTATTTGTAATGACATTGAAGTCTTATATGCACAAGAGAAATTGTAAATAATAATAATAATAAGGTTAGTAGCTAAGATTATCAGTTAACTGAGATACTGTCATCATAGATTACAATAGGAGGATAGTAATTCATAAGTTTCACGCTTTACATTGTCTCTATCACATGGAACACGCGTCACATACCCTGTCGATGAGTTCCTATACTTGGAAGTACGAGCAAATAATCTTTTGTGCTGGCTTCTGGTTCTACTAGATGAGATGGAAGGCGGGAAGTGTTGAGAATAGAGGAGGTGTTGAGGGTCAGACAATACAGATTTAGACGTTTTTTTAGAATGAGTTCAGATTTCTATCAGCTAATGTAGTAACAAGCTGACTGACTAAGCTGCACACCACTTTCCCTATTGACAGCCTTTAATACCCTAACCCTTCTCAAAATGGCGTAGTCTTTTTTCAGTAGCCCGGGAAAGACTAAGGGTGCGGAGTAGTAAAATACAGAAGATAAGATAATAGCTTTATTCCAAAACAGTACTTGTGATACAGATTACAAGAGTTAACAAATTGTAATAGCATAATTTGAGTGATTTCAAACTGTTGTAGCGTCTTGATGTAGTTGATTGGATGCAAACTTAACATTCTTAATAATAAAAATATGAATAACGACAATACTAAAAACATGAGGGATTTAAAAGCAATTATTTATCATTACTATACAATATCAACAACGGAAGCAGAACTACCAGTGAACATCGACCCCCCGATGAAATCAGAAGTCCTGAAGGCAATCAAGATGCTAAGAGCTGGAAAAGCACCAGGACCAGATGGAATCCTAGCAGAAGCATTGAAAATGGACCCAGAGGCAGCAGCGGGCTTGATGACGCCACTACTGGAGAAGGTGTGAAGAGAGGGTAAAGTACCCGAGGATTGGAAGAAAGGAGACTTATTCAAACTACCAAAGAAAGGAGACTTAAGTCAATGCAAACACTGGACTGGAATTATGCTCTTGTTCCTCCCAAGCAAAATATTGAGAGGCATTATCCTGGGGAGAATCAACCAAGCCCTGGATGCAAAACTTCGACCGGAACAGCCTGGATTCAGGAGAAACAAATCATGTATCGATCAAGTCACCACACTATGGACCATCACTGAACAAAGCCTGGAATGGCAGTCACCTCTCCACCTCACTCAACTTCATCGACTTTGAAAAGGCCTTCGACAGCGTCAATCGAGAGGTGATTTCGCAACTACTTCGCTTTTACGGGGTGCCACGGACAATTATA